CACAAACAACCGCGGGGGAGGATGCGGCGTGGTGGGAACCGAGAGCCGGCGCAGGAGCGTGACCAGCAGCAGGTCGACAGACCCGAGCTCCTCCGACGGCGCAGCGGACCACGCCGGGCCTCCTGACGCCGCCCCTGCGACATCCATCTCCGCCATCTACCTGGCCGACCGACTCCCACTGTTCGGCGCCGCCTGCCGCCGGAGGGCAACAAACAACCCCACCACGATTGGGGCACCGGGCAGGCCGGCGGCCGGCGAGGTCATTGCCACGGCGAGTCGGTGACCTCTTCTACTACGGTGTCCTGAGTTCTGTGGCTGTTCTGCTCTGTCCTGTTCTGCCCTGCCATGTTCGGCGCGCTCTGTCCTGCGGGACTAGCCTTGCGTACCGGCCGCGCCCGAGGCAACTGCCATCCGCCGGAGGCGCGGTATATAAGCTGAGTCCCGCAGTGATCTCCTCTCTTCGCTCTCCACTCGGGAGCTACGTTAGACTGCCCAGTGCGCGACGTGTGCGTCCATATCTACACCAATCATGTAAGTAGAAGGGTGCGGCCCTTATTGGGGCATTGTATATAGCCATGACCAGTGTTAATCATCATGTGTGTTTATGTAAATAATAACCTTGAAGACTTGCACAGTCTGTTGTGGGACAAATGGTGGGGGAGAGAAAGAACGGCGAACTGAACTCAACGGGACCGAACTTGGCAAACGCAAAATAGAGCGGCTCGGAAGCTCAAACAAACGCTACCTTTAAACGGCACAGTTAACTTCGGCACGCCACGCTACCAACAGTAATCCCAACCGTAGCAATGATAGCAATAAGGAACGTAACAACATATGTAGAGAAAAAATAGTTTCACAATAAGTTAAAGCATGTCATAAATTTAGTAGAACAATGAACTTTCTTCGCAGGTATCCTGAATAACTTTGATAGCGATATGGATCGTTAAACAAACAAATGTGACACTTGTTTGGCAGGACGAGACTAGAGTCTAGAACATTTATTCCGTGGCCGGTGAGACGGCCCTAGCGCCGGGTTTGCTTGTCGATAATGGGTAATTTCACGCTTCGTGTGGCTTAACTTGATCCATCGTGACCCTCAGCTGTGTGATTGCGCCTTGTTCAATGTTCAGGGACGTAGCCATTTTAAGTGGACACGTCTGCTGGCCGATAAATAAACTCTAGTGCGTCTTAACCCTCGCCCGAATAGGGGGGGGGGGGGTCGAACGTACCCCCCTCGGTTTTTCGCGAATAACTCGCGTAAATAGCGGCCGATCGCGACGAAACTGTGAGTACCCTCGCGTTAATCAATTTTACACCTACCCTAAAACTTTCATGACCCTGATCGTAATAACCTTTGACCTGTGACCTACTTTTCGAGACCATGTTTGGCCGGAATCGCGATTCGGCGTATGTTGGCTCGCATTAGCCGCGTGTTTGCAGTTTTTTCGTGGTTTTCAGCATTCAAACACGGGATATGATGTTGCTCCCATGCATTAGGGTGGGTGTCAAGGTCACCGGAAGGTCAGGTCAGGTCATTGACCTTTGATGACCTCGGTTCACTTTTTCGAGTTTAACATGTTTCTAGGCCAGTTTTTGGAGCTGAATTCGAATTTAGCAACCATATGAACATTTACGAAGTAGTTTTGGTGCCTTCGTAACATGTTACGAAGCTGTCAGAGGCGGTTGCCACCTACTACGAATACCCTTACTGGTTGAACTGACCTGACCCGACCTGGCCTAAATGCATGAAGGCATCATTTGTGATCAAAACTAACATGATATTCTTGATCAGCACCCCGAAAAACCCCTTAGCAGCCACGTTTTACGACTTTCTAACATTTCTAACAGGTCGCGATTTTCCCGACTTTTGGGTCATTGACCTGACCTGGAAGGTCAACCGATGACCTAGGACCTTAAAATTGGGTATCATCGGCTTCCTCTCATCACGGGCAACACGCTCGTCTTTTCCGCTAGTTGAAGCCCTGGTTGTATCTGTGCTGCGGTACTGTCTGTCGGTGTACGGCTCGTGTGGTGAGGTGCAGTTAGGACGGCTGCAAAAAGTTATAAACTTTTGTGCACGCGTTGTGTCCGGTCGGCGACGACGTGATAGCGTGGCGGCTGTCATCAAGCAGCTGAAGTGGTTGACTGCCAAGGATTTGGTAACATACCACACAGTGAGTGCTGTCGAGCGTATCTTTGTGTCGGAGCAGCCGGAGTACCTCAAAGGTACGCTGGGGCAGCGATAGCGTGGCGGCTGTCATCAAGCAGCTGAAGTGGTTGACTGCCAAGGATTTGGTAACATACCACACAGTGAGTGCTGTCGAGCGTATCTTTGTGTCGGAGCAGCCGGAGTACCTCAAAGGTCTAGAACATTTATTCCGTGGCCGGTGAGACGGCCCTAGCGCCGGGTTTGCTTGTCGATAATGGGTAATTTCACGCTTCGTGTGGCTTAACTTGATCCATCGTGACCCTCAGCTGTGTGATTGCGCCTTGTTCAATGTTCAGGGACGTAGCCATTTTAAGTGGACACGTCTGCTGGCCGATAAATAAACTCTAGTGCGTCTTAACCCTCGCCCGAATAGGGGGGGGGGGGGTCGAACGTACCCCCCTCGGTTTTTCGCGAATAACTCGCGTAAATAGCGGCCGATCGCGACGAAACTGTGAGTACCCTCGCGTTAATCAATTTTACACCTACCCTAAAACTTTCATGACCCTGATCGTAATAACCTTTGACCTGTGACCTACTTTTCGAGACCATGTTTGGCCGGAATCGCGATTCGGCGTATGTTGGCTCGCATTAGCCGCGTGTTTGCAGTCTTTTCGTGGTTTTCAGCATTCAAACACGGGATATGATGTTGCTCCCATGCATTAGGGTGGGTGTCAAGGTCACCGGAAGGTCAGGTCAGGTCATTGACCTTTGATGACCTCGGTTCACTTTTTCGAGTTTAACATGTTTCTAGGCCAGTTTTTGGAGCTGAATTCGAATTTAGCAACCATATGAACATTTACGAAGTAGTTTTGGTGCCTTCGTAACATGTTACGAAGCTGTCAGAGGCGGTTGCCACCTACTACGAATACCCTTACTGGTTGAACTGACCTGACCCGACCTGGCCTAAATGCATGAAGGCATCATTTGTGATCAAAACTAACATGATATTCTTGATCAGCACCCCGAAAAACCCCTTAGCAGCCACGTTTTACGACTTTCTAACATTTCTAACAGGTCGCGATTTTCCCGACTTTTGGGTCATTGACCTGACCTGGAAGGTCAACCGATGACCTAGGACCTTAAAATTGGGTATCATCGGCTTCCTCTCATCACGGGCAACACGCTCGTCTTTTCCGCTAGTTGAAGCCCTGGTTGTATCTGTGCTGCGGTACTGTCTGTCGGTGTACGGCTCGTGTGGTGAGGTGCAGTTAGGACGGCTGCAAAAAGTTATAAACTTTTGTGCACGCGTTGTGTCCGGTCGGCGACGACGTGATAGCGTGGCGGCTGTCATCAAGCAGCTGAAGTGGTTGACTGCCAAGGATTTGGTAACATACCACACAGTGAGTGCTGTCGAGCGTATCTTTGTGTCGGAGCAGCCGGAGTACCTCAAAGGTACGCTGGGGCAGCGGGCTAGCCCAAGGCCATCTATAGAAGGTACAGTCACTCCCCCGCCGACCAATCAGAGACAGATCCTGAGTGACGTCACCCCTGATGCTCGCAAGGGGTACTCCATTCCTTTGCAACGTAAAAATGACTAACTTCATTTGAAGATTATTGATGGCACTCTACACATATCGCTCAGCCGTTGATGTCAATGGAAAGCCCAACTAATTTTCCAGCGACAAAAAAGAGCAGCAATATGCTAAGAAATGGCTGGTTTTGAAGATATAGACGATTTACAAGCCCTCTGCAGCAGCAGGAAAGCAACGAAAAAACGCATCGAGCTTATATTTTTACTATGGATAAATCATTTTTCAGTAAGTTTTTAGATATGGTATAGATTTAAGTTACAACTTTATTACAATATTTTCATTACTTGAAACTTTATTTCAAAATAATATTTTCAAAAATGGCAACTGTTGGCAAGTAGCTTGGGAGCGATTGTGGCGCACCGCGCCATTAATTGTCCTGAGGCCCCCTTATGATGTCATCAAAAGTGGAGTGACATGGGCCTGGGCTAGCCAGCGGCACCGGCACAACACTAGGCAGGCCAGCTACCTCACCCTCCCCTTCATTCGAACGGAGTCGGGAAGACGTAGATTGTGCTACCGAGGTGCGACTCGTATGAACGAACTTGGAGTAGAACCAGGGACATTGTCGTACCGGGCGAACATCCGAAAGGTGCTGCTGTCTAAGCAACAGACATGAGCAATAGCATGTATGGGTGCGTGTGTGGGAATTATGCGTGCTGCACACTGTTCCTCGTTTTGTATCACACTATCATGACGTGGACATGTGAAAAGCCTCACTATTGAGAGGACCTTGTCTGAATATATCTGTAATCTGTAATCTGTAATCCGCGAAGCTCTAGCTTGATCAGGGGCGAAACGACAAGGGGGGTCCAACGGACCCCCCCCCTTTACGTTCGCGGCTGGAAAAACACCAATACGGGCGAGGGTTAAGACCTGCCAGATGTGAGATGTATTCCCTCGCACGGATTCCCCCCCCCCCCCCGTCTTCAATATATCGGGACGACAATCGGATTGTGTTGAAATTAGGCTTGTGGGCAGGAAACTATAACCTAACGACAGATAATTTATCTGGTGTGTGGGTAGGGCTTCGAACCAGTTCGTTCCAAGCGGTTCGGCTCGGCCAGGAGCCGGGATGATTCGGCACAGTACAGCTCAGCTCAGAGTTGGATGAAAAAAAAACGGGATGGGGTAATCATGTTTATTTAGGCACATCGAACTGAATTGCCATGACACCAAAACGACGGACGACAAAACAAAGACAAACAAACGGATACCAGAGGACGAACGCACGCATGTCGCATAGTGCATGTTGCTGGAGAGTACCCATACCCTATTTACACTTTATACACATGGTCGCGGATTCGGCCACATGACCGACACAGGGCCGCACGGATGTGGAGTATTTTCTTGTCATGAACGCACATCACTCCTTTTTCGCGCGCTTAACCGTCCCGTCAGGCATCACCCACACCACAGTACTGCCGGCTGGTCTGACGCGACGAATAGAGGGAGGACGGGCTGGATGGGAAGTGACATCGGTGACCGGGGGTCGAAGGATGCTGTGGAGGGAGTTAGCGTGGCGTGGCGTGGCGGTGGTGGGCGCGGTGGTGGGACGGGCTGGTTGGAAAGTGACATCGGTGACCGGGGGTCGAAGGATGCTGTGGAGGGAGTTAGCGTGGCGTGGCGTGGCGGTGGTGGGCGCGGTGGTGGGACGGGCTGGTTGGAAAGTGACATCGGTGACCGGGGGTCGAAGGATGCTGTGGAGGGAGTTAGCGTGGCGTGACGTGGCGGTGGTGGGCGCGGTGGTGGGACGGGCTGGATGGGAAGTGACATCGGTGACCGGGGGTCGAAGGATGCTGTGGAGGGAGTTCGCGTGGCGTGGCGTGGCGGTGGTGGGCGCGGTGGTGGGACGGGCTGGTTGGAAAGTGACATCGGTGACCGGGGGTCGAAGGATGCTGTGGAGGGAGTTCGCGTGGCGTGGCGTGGCGGTGGTGGGCGCGGTGGTGGGACGGGCTGGTTGGAAAGTGACATCGGTGACCGGGGGTCGAAGGATGCTGTGGAGGGAGTTAGCGTGGCGTGGCGTGGCGGTGGTGGGCGCGGTGGTGGGACGGGCTGGATGGGAAGTGACATCGGTGACCGGGGGTCGAAGGATGCTGTGGAGGGAGTTAGCGTGGCGTGGCGTGGCGGTGGTGGGACGGGCTGGATGGGAAGTGACATCGGTGACCGGGGGTCGAAGGATGCTGTGGAGGGAGTTCGCGTGGCGTGGCGTGGCGGTGGTGGGCGCGGTGGTGGGACGGGCTGGTTGGAGATGGCTGAAAGACAGAACGTCGCTAGTAGCAGAGACAGCAGTATCGACGGCTGTTGCAGCGGTGGCGAGAGGCGCAGCGGTGGCGGCTGGAGCAGCGGTGGCGGTGGCGGCTGGAGCAGCGGTGGCGGTGGCGGGAGGCGCAGCGACTGCGGTGGCGGTGGCGGAAGGCTCAGCGGTGGCGTTGGCGGTTGCGGCGTCTTGGGCAGTGAGGGGGCCTCTACAGTTCCCACACCGGAAATGGCCGACACCCCGCAGCTGTAAGAGACTGGGGGGCTCCTGCAGCCTCTTTGGATGGACTTGATAAATTCCTGAAACGAAATGACGGCACGGTGAGCAAATACGGTCCATAATGCGAGTTTACACAAGTACAGATTCAGGCAAGCTGTAGCTCCATTACAATGCAAACCATGGTAAGAGCAAACATAAGATAATGGAAAAGTTTCGTAAGCAGTTTCAGGGGTGTCGTTTCCCAAAAATGATTGGTAGGACCCAAAGGCTGCGGAAGGCCATTTATGACGTGCTTATAAAGGTAGGGTACCCCAAAGTTGCCTTTCTCATCGGATTTAGACCACTCATTTTTCCTGAGACCTTAAAATCGGGTACTAATCGCTGCGACTTGTCAGCGCACACACACCGTTTTTTTTTTTTCCACGAGACTCTAGCAAGTCTAGCTCCTTTAGGGGTGAAACGCGGGCTCGGGTCGTACCAAACCCCCTGAAACCCATTTCGTTAGCGTGAAAATGAGGAGCTTATAGAAAGAACACCTTTCTAGTTTTTTTTTTGCAAGTCGATTCGCAATGACCTAAAATTTCATACTGAGCTTGACCTCTTGAACTCTTAGGAACCATGGGACAAAAATGGTGAAGGGAAAAAAGAACGAGCTAAGCAGGCACATAACTCGTTAGCAGCAGTAACACGAACTCGATAGCATAACTCACGTCGGGCAAATGTCTTGATTATCGCCTCTTGAAAGGCATTCGGGACCTTTGTATCGGTCTCGGACTGTAGGTCTGCACGTCTGCGCTCCGTAAAAGCGCTCTCCAGGACCTCATCTTCGAACGTTTCAAAACGAAACGTTTGCCGCTCCGTAACACGCATACCCAGCAGGGCGATGTGATGGCCTTTGCCCTGCAGCCGATAGACCTGTGAAAAGAACAACACACTTTGTTGAACACACTTTGCATCAAGACACAGAAAAAGTGAAGCACGAATGAAGCATCGATTGAGGGATCCAGGAAACGATCGAAACATGTGTTGCACAAATACCGTGCGAGTGCATTTGCAGATATACCCAATATCGAGTAAGCTCCTTGAAGTGCACATTCAATCCTCTTAGCATCATATAGACCACGTTTCCATGGACATTACTGATCCTGATAAGTACCAATGGATTAGCTAATCCAGTATAGTTAGACAATATATGAAATTGCAAATAAGGGATTAACTGACTAACTCGGCTCCTGGGTCACGTATCGACACGCGGAAGGCTACGTTCGAAAGAGCGTCAAAAGTAATGAAGAAAATACTTAGCCATTTTTTTTTAGTCAGATCACTTTGCCATTTTTCATTGACCTCGGGGTCAATGAAAATAGGTTTCGCTACAGTTTTTTTTTTCCAGGGCTGTCAGACGTCGTTTGAATTTTGACAATCGGCCCAGTAGTTTCGGAGATAGGAGCGGGGGGGCTCTGGAGAGCCCCCCCCCCCCCAGTCACTTGCGTTATGGAAAATACCCCAGTCATGCACGGGTTAACTTATAATGGGGAGGTCGCAAAATTGACCTGACCTTAGGTCAACGAAATCGAAATTCCGAGATAAGCATTTTGTACATATTATTGCTCTTATCAATCTCTGAAAGTTTCAAAGCAATCGGCTCCTCGGTGTAGCTATGGCAGACATTGAAACTTTTTATTAGGTGAGGTCACTTGAACCTGACCGTGAATGACCTTGGTCTGAAGTTTTCACAACATGCGCAGGATTGATGTATGATAAGGTGTACCAAAAACGGCGGCGTCACGAAAAACCACAGGGGTAGGGGTGCTCAAAGAGCCCCCCTCCGCAGGGCGCGGGTTAAGGGGGACAAGGCAAGGGTAGGTGTTATCGGTTAAGTTATTGTCGGTCGATGAGCTGTCACGGGTTCCTAAGGTCAATTTTAATGATTTGACACGGTTCATCGGAAAAAAAAATTGTGCAAAAATTCAAGGTTTGATGACCATCTCACCTTGACATTAGTTTTGAGTTGAGATACCCAAGTTTCGGCACTCGCAACACCAATAAATGCCTTACAGGGTGGCTCAAAATTACCTGGTCTCATATTTTTACGCTGAGATAGTTGAGGTCCGATTGCTGAATTATCTTTTTTTGACACGTCATTGCACGCTTGTAACAACAATTATGTTGTTAGCGGATATGTCACGTTATTCGTGACATATCCTAACGTTTTGAAATCTTCCGGTTGCGGGTATTTATGCAGCCACCTTAGTCATTTATTTAATCTATCGTTTGCATTCTGTTCTTGTCCTTAGAATCATCGACTTTCGTAAAAATATGAATCGTCAATTATCGCTTTAACTCGCGCCCTGTCTGAGCACCTCCTGCGGTTTTTTGCAAATATTTGGCAAACGTTATCATACATCTTTTCCTCATGTGTTATTCAAATACACAATTAAAAATGGCAAAAAAAAGTTATTCCACACCAGTAAAGTTTATATAACTGGTAGCTTTCGAAGGCTACTGCCTTCTTCGTCAGCCATAGGTAATAAACGTGCGCCTGTCCTCCTCCGACGCTCTACTCTCCCGCCCTGACCCATCTTCCCTACCTGCCCTAAGCCGCTCCCTATTCTTGACCTGATTGTAAACCCGACGCACCATTCGTTTTGGGCAGCTGTTTCTCGCTAGCGCTCGCTCAATATTCATTGTCGCATTCCGTATGTCCAGGGGGTTAGTGAGCAGGTGACACGCATCCTACGCCCATATGCAAAAGTTAGTACGAGACCGGCTGCAAATCTGAAAGCAAGGCTAGTTAAAGGAAGACTGCCACCTTCAAAAAGTTTTCTCAGATCGGCCTATGATTTATTCCCTGGACAAAACAAAATTTTAGAATTCACCTGACAAAGTATCATCACGTGAATCGCGAAAAAAATTGTCGATTATCATACATTTATCAATCGGTTAATGTCTAGCGACAATGTTTACACATCACTAGACTTCAAGGTCATAAGATTATTACATTTTATTTGAAAAAAGTAAGGTATTTTATGATTTACTAATATATGATTTCATAAGAAATTGGCCATGTTTAATTTATTTTGCATTTAAGTTCGTAAAACATTTATAAAAATCATGGCTCATTTGGAATGGGTCTGGCCCATGTTAAACCCCATTTCCCACACTTTTTTGGAAAAAAAATGAACTACTGAATATATAAGTTTAACTTTTATTTTGACACTCCAAAATTCTTCTCTGATCTCGAAACAATCAAAGTTTTGACATATATTTACCAAAAGATAAGAAAATTCATGTTTCAAAGTTATCGATAAACAGTAGAGATGTCGGTTTTCTTGGACTAAAAAAATGGCATCAAACTGAACTTTGGTCTCCGATTTCTCGCAAACGGGTTCGAATTTCGGAAAACCGACTTCAGTCTGGGACATAGGTGGCTCAGCTCTAGTGAAAACCGTTTTGTGGAAAAAAGGTGGCAGTCTACCTTTAAACCAAAAGACAGGCTAGGGTTTAAGGATAAGTCGGGGGTAGTTTACCAGTATCAGTGTCAGTGTGGGAAGCTTTGTGTGGGGGAGACAGGGAGGAAGCTGAAGACAAGGGAGGCAGAGCATAGGCGGGCTATAGCTCAGGGGAACGGGGATCATTCAGGTATCTCAAGACATGTGGTGGAAACGGGGCATGACATCATGTGGGACGACGTCAAAATTCTGGATTATGAAAGAAATTGGAGCAAACGAAAGGTCAAGGAGGGTTTTTTATATTTCAAGGGTGGACAAACAGAGAAGCCTAAACATCTTGCCAGGCTGGGAGGTACCAGTCGTGTATGGGGCGCTGCATACATAGGTGAGAGTCAACAAGAGCCTAACATTTACTTGACCGTCTGCTGCAATTTGAATTGATACATAGCACGTGAAGCGTCAGTGAAATTCATAGTCCTTTACAGATGGCAGGGGTGTCGTGTGTACAGAGGTCGCTGATGGGTACGGGTCAATGCCGCAGTCGTGGGCGGAGCCTAATGTCCTATGACGTATGAAAGCCTCTATCCAGGATGGAAAAACAGTTAACATTACGAGTCAATGACAAGTGCCACAAATATTTAAATGACAACAAAACGTATTTGAAGAAAAAGTTTCGGCAGGTCTTGAAACAGCTATTTCCTAAATATGGTTGAAATTATTCCACGCATTTAAAAATAATCGCGAAAAATTAGGGTCTCAACGGGTCTGGCGTTAACAGTAGTGAGTTTGCAAACTCACTGATGGGTCAGGGAGTTTGCAAACTCACGGATTTCTCAAAATCCCTGTAACATATATATATATATATATATATATATATATATATATATATATATATATATATATATATATATATATATATATATATATATATATATATATATATATATATATATATATATATATATATATATATGCATACGTGTGTTGTGAAAATTTCAGAACCAGGTCACTTAAGGTCAGGTCAAGTGACTTCACTACATAAAGTTTCAATGTCTGCCGTAACTACACAGAGTGACCGATCACTTTGAAACTTTTAACGATTGATCAGAGCAACAGTATGTACAAAATGTATATCTCAGAATTTGGATATCGGTGACTTAAGTCCAGGCCAATTTTGCGACCTACCCATTTTAAGTCAATGGGATAAAACTAAAAGTCGCCCTTTTTAGACGGAAGTCATTATAAACACTCTTAAACACTGAACTACTATAGTATCTTTGACACAATGAACATGGGTATGGCACCTGTGACCCCTTTTTATGCCCCTGAGGTCATCTCAGGTCACCAATAGTACCTGATACTTTTTCGCGAATATCTTTTGAGAGGCGTGCTAGAGCGATTTTTCAATTTTTAGGTATTAGGGTATTTTTCAATGGTTGCAATGTAAAAAATCAATTACTGAACCTTCCCAATTTATCCCAAGTTAAATCTTTTGACCAGCATTGGCAAACTTAGTGTCTATTTCTTTCCAAACCTTAAGAAAAACTGACTGGGTGACGCTTCACAAAAAATAATGACGTCATTGACACCGGGAGCACTTACCCAAAACAACATTATTCAAGGCGCTTAAAGGGACCCTCCCACCTTCAAAAAAGTTAATGAATTGGCATGAAAGTGATGTCCCTTGGTTCAGAAAGAGCGAAAACGAATATCTACCAAATTTCAACGAAAAATATTCACTGGTTTTCAAGATATTAGGCTTTTACTTTTGTTTACTTTTTGGGATCTCCCCTGTTACTAGCGACTTTATTTGGAAGCAATAATTTGGCAGCCTTAAAGTGCTGCAGACGTTGCGCGCAAAGCAGCGTATACTACCACGTGTTAACGATGGTTTTAGTCTAAGATTTAAAAATCGTTAGATCTCCGCTGACGTCACAAATTCTAAGGGGGCATTCCAATGCATTAGCCCCTTAGAATCCGAAAACTGCAAGTTTGAAATTCCATATCTTCGAATTAAAGCATTTTTCGATGTTGTGAGTGCCCAAACCGGTATTTGCAGGCCATGGCCACCAATTTGGCTATCTCAACTCAAAACTAATGTTAAGGTGGGAGTGTCCCTTTAAAAAGTGATGAAAAAATGGTAGGACTTCACAATTTGGTGTCCACCCATATAAATAGTGGCAAAATATGTGACCAGAGTTTCGTTAATCTGCGTCACCCGTAACTGTTAGGCTCAAAACTTTCATTCACCCTACGTACAATAGGATTTTACAATGACCGTGACAAGGGCAGCTTATTGAGTAGTGGAATGTTGATAATGATTTAACCAAAATCAACAACCAAGATTGCAGTCACTTCGTTAGTGTGTCAACGGACAAACCTGTTTCCTGATGTTCGCAAAGATCTTGTCCAAGTTGTCGTCGCGCATCCTTGAGCCCTGCTCCCTCAGTTGCCGACGCAGTGCAGAGCGCTCGGCCTCACGATCTGCAGCAATGCTGCGCCCACACCGACACGCCAACGCCCTTCCCCGAACTGGCGTCCCACACGTCGGGCATTTCTTGGGCCCTGAAATAAAGCACATACATATCGTGAATTAAAGTTCAAGTGTTCAATAGAATGCCGCACACACTAAACGGCTCTAGAACAGCAACGTGAACTCACTCTTTTAAAGCAATGCAAACAAACGTTTACCTATTGAAAATGCATTTAAAGAGTTCATTTCAACTGGTTTTCGTATCTCGGTATCTAGTCAGCACGTGGGCGATTCGGGATGATTGAGGCGACTGTGGCCACTTTCTTTTCAATGACGAACGGGAAGAGGATGCGGAAGAGAGAGAGAGAGAGAGAGAGAGAGAGAGAGAGAGAGAGAGAGAGAGAGAGAGAGAGAGAGAGAGAGAGAGAGAGAGAGAGAGGAGAAGCTGCACTGTCTATGGAGAACCCGTCAAAAACGTCTGGAACGAACATGAACAAAGAGAGAAATACATGCAGCCTCCATCCTCATCATTATCCCAGTACCAATTATACGGCACCTATGGGGAAGCCGATGCAAACGCTATTCCCCGAAGACTCATCTGCATCTGCAACTGTCCCCTATCGTCACCCGGAAATGTCAAGACTATTTAAAGGGACCCTCCCACCTTAACATTAGATTTGAGTTGAGATAGCCAAAATGGGGTCCCTGGCTCACAATTACCGGTTTCGGCACTCACAACATCGAGAAATGCCTTAAATCGGAAATATTGAATTTCAAAATTGCAGCATTTTGATTCAGAGGGGCTAATGCTTAGGAATACCCCTCTGAATGTGTGACGTCAGCGCAGATATCTAACGATTTTTAAATGTTTGACTAAAACGTTTTGTAGCACGCGGTGGTATATGCTATTTTCGCGCAACATCTGCCGCAAACGCCGCACTTCTAAAATAAAGTCGCTAGAAACAGCGGAGATCCCAAAAAAAGTAAACAAAAGTAAAAGTCTAATATCTTGAAAACCGGTGAATATTTTTCGGTGAAATTTGGTAGATATTCGTTTTCGCTCTTTCTGAACCGAGCGACATCACTTTCATGCCAATTCATAAACTTTTTTGAAGGTGGGAGGGTCCCTTTAATGAAGCTAACGCCTAACGGTGATGATAAAGTGCGAAAAACGTTTTGACTTTATGAAATTTGATGAAATGACCAGGTAAATTTTTCATTACTGGCGGTCAATTTAATACGGCGCCAACATTTAAACAACAACATCGAGTAAAACGCATTTTGTCGAAAATCTGTGATAAGGCGTAAGTTGCCTAGTACATATGTTGCTATTGGAGGTCACTGATGATACCAGGTCAGGTCACAGGTCAGGTCACCAAGGGTCAGCACATGAACCCAACTTTACTAGGGTTGTGCGATGCATGTTTTATGGCAAAATTTTCATTTCCAACTCAATGGTGTTGGTTAAAAAGACCATTAGGTACGGTTTAGGTCACTTTCTGGTGAAGGTCAGGCAATGAATTGCGAATTTTGGTCCTGGTCCCGGAGAATAAAATTCGCGGAGAACCGGCCACCTTGTAGAACACTCACCAGGAAAATCACACGTTTGGCCTACAATGTGACAGTTGATCAAATGTATTCTCTGAATGCTATAACTGCATGTTTTATGCGTAATAATAGCAGTTTTTATCACACTGGCTGGAAGTTTAAGAGATTTCAAGTGCCGTAGTATCAATTTGTAAGGAGAAGAAAAGGAGAAGGAGAAGGAGAAGAAAATCGTTTGGACCCGACTGGGACCAGCAAAGGACCTTATTTCCAACATTGAGGTCAGGTCAATGTCAGGACAAAAAAGGTCAAATTTCAAAGTTCATAGTTTTGCATAAAATGGGTATTGATTGCATACAATGGCAGCTCGTCACGGCGAGTCTAATGATGGTCTTTGTTTTGCGCTACGTGGTCTAGAATTGCTAAAAATTGAGGTTGAAAATTTGACGTAATCAATTTGGAAGTTTTCTTTTTTGCTATAACTCGGCCAAAAAAAGAGGTGGGGGAGAGTGGGGCACATTCGTGCAAAAAATGAATAAATCCATTTATCTGTTCTTTGGTTAGTGCAACGGCAAAATTGTTGATTGTAGTATGGAAAGGAACTATTGCAGATATGTTTCCTCTTCAAAAGTTATCCTCGAAAATTATTGCTTCTATTAGAAAAAATGACTTTTAATAACTCTGAACGTTTGCACGAAACTGCCCCACCTATGGGGCACTTTCGTGCAAGGGATGGGACACTTCCGTGCGCCCTGCAAAGTTCGAGCAATTACCGGGCATTAGGTACCAGAGATTTACCAAAAAAGGTGGCAGGGGCGAAAGGGGGTCATTTCACTTGATTCCTTTCGACAAGAATGCATTGCACAACATATGTAGAAAGAATGGGCTGGCCAACAAGAATGTGCCAACTGCCGGCCTCCGTGACCTCGCCAAGGTCGCGTGAATTACTTGTCACGACGTCGCAAGCAGCCGAGACTGAGTCAGGCCGGCGTCATTAGTGAAACCTACTACAGATAGTCATAAATCGCAAAAACGGAAAAAATGCACGAATAGGCCTAGGCAGTGCATACACGAACCTGCCCCACAACGTTATTTGTAATATATTTCAAAATTCATTGTTGAAAAAATGACACTTTTTCAACAAACAAGTTTGCAGCAGTTCCGTGAATAGAGTGAGCTTCTTCGCCCCCAATTTTGAAAAGCTGAACCACATTTCAGAGTTACAGCCAAAAAACCAAAAAGTTTTTCGATTTTCGAAAAAAAAACGGAATACCCATATGTGATGGTCTGAAGTCTCTACCGACTTCTATTTACATACCAAATCTTAAATCGATAGGGAAGAGTGGGACACATTCGTGCATGGGGTACATTCGTTTTCAGCAGTTTATGGGAATACGAGAGACTGCATGAGCTCAAGGTAAATTATGGAAATACGTCTATCATTGCCGCCCTTCGTTCACTGTAGAAGACAACACTGTACCTGCTGTCATGCTTGATAAAAACGCAAATTTCTACTATTTGTGCGCTTTCCAAACTTTTCTCATATCATCCATTTGCTTTGCGCGCAACGTCTGCCGCACTTCAAAGCTGCCAAATTATTGCTTCCAAATAAACTCGCTAGAACAGCGGAGATCCGAAGAAGTAAACAAAAGTAAAAGCCTAATATCTTGAAAACCAGTGAATATTTTTCGGTGAAATTTGGTAGATATTCATCTTAAATTTTTCTGAACCACGGGACATCACATTTATGCTAATTCATTAACTTTTTTGAAGGTGGGAGGGTCCCTTTAATAGCATACTGTCATGGTCCGAGAAGTGGCAGCTGCCGTTAAAGGGACCCTCCCACCTTAACATTAGTTTTGAGTTGAGATAGCCAAATTTGCGGCCAGGCTCAGAAACCACCATTTATCCTGGTCGCAACCCCCGCAGCTTTATGGTGTTCAAGAAATTTCTTCCCTTTACTTGCAGGGTGGGACCAGCGTGGTCCCTATCTCTTAACCATTACGGGAATCTGATGACGTCATCAGGCTTTCGAACGTCCGTTAAATGTTTGACTAAAACGTTTTGTAGCACGCGGTGGTATACGCTGCTTTGCGCGCAACAAATGCCGCACTTTCAAATAAAGTCGCTAGGAACAGCGGAGATCCCAAAAAGTAAACAAAAGTAAAAGTCTAATATCTTGAAAACCGGTGAATATTTTTCGATGAAATTTGGTGGATATTCGTTTTTGCTCTTTCTGAACCGAGGGACATCACTTTCATGCCAATTCATTAACTTTTTTGAAGGTGGGAGGGTCCCTTTAAAGTCACTATCCCACATTAACATTAGTTTTGAGTTGAGATAGCCAAAATGGGGTCCCTGGCTTGCACTTACCGGTTTCAGCGATTGATAAGAGCAATAGTACCAATGAAACGCATTTCTCGAAATATTGATATCGGTGACCTAAGGTCAGGTCAATTTTGCGCCCTCTCCATTATAAAACAATAGGAGAAAATTGAAAGGTATGATAAAGGTTACTCAAAATATAATGTTATAATAACCAGTATAACGCCTTTTGGGGCGACTCACGGAGCGAGCGAGAGGGTGAGCCTTGCACGTGCGAAATTGCGAGGGGGTACCTCCAACTGAGTTGTGCATGGCACCCTACTAAACGGTCTCTAGCTATGAGCCACATTTGAGCACAATCGGCCCAGCCATTCTCGAGATCTGGAAGCGGCACCCTGCACGACGCACGTGCGCACGTGCAGAATGGGTCCCAACTGACTTGTGCACGGCACCCTACCAACTGGTCCCTAACCGTGTACCAAATTTGAGCGCCATCGGTCCAGCCGTTCTCGAGATCTGGAAACGACTCCTGCACGTGCGCACGTGCAGCAGCACCCCAACTCTGGCACATGGATATGCATTGCCTAGTGGGTGCCTACCTACATGCCAACTTTCAGCGCAATCGGCCAAGTAGTCACCGAGATATTGCAACTATTATACCAGTAAAACGCCTTTTGGGCGAAAAACGAGCGAGCGAGATAGTGAGCCCTGCACGTGCGGAAGGGCGAGAGGGTACTTCCAACGAGCTTGTGCAAAGCACCCTTCTAACCGGTCGCTAGCGGTGTGCCAAATTTGAACGCAATCGGCCCAGCCGTTCCTGAGATCTGGAAGCGGCATTCTGCACGTGCGCACGTGCAAACGGGGTCCAAAATGACTTTTGCACGGCACCCTACTAACCGGTCCCCAACCGTGTACCAAATTTGAGCGCAATCGGCCCAGCCGTTCTCGAGATCTGGAAACGCCCCCTGCACGTGCGCACGTGCAGTAGCACCTTAACCGCAACACATGGGAATGCATTGCCTGGTGGGTGCCTACCTGTATGCCAAGTTTCAGCGAAATCGCCCCAGTAATTACCGAGTTACTGAAATGGGAACAAATTTGGCATCTCTTCTTTTTGTATTTTGCACGTGCAGTGGGGGTCACTCACATAGATCAAGAGTATCCGACCTTTGGTAGAAGGGATGCAGCTACCCTATAGAACTTACCGCAAGACAATCGCTCA